AGCGGAAACGGTAGTGTTACTGGACTGGGCGGAATTTCAGAACTGAAAACTGCCTAGCCAACACGGCATTGACGAGCAGAGAACCTGCAAGGCTGCCGTGTCCTGTATGTCGGCTGTTCTGTCTCGGATAACCGACACTCAGGCAAATCGGATACCCTGTATAGACAAACTGTCAGGAAGTCTATGTATGACAGAACTTGGATGGAGAGGTGCAACATTCTCTCCATCCTGTGGTGCTCTTTGGGATCGAGCACCACCTGGTCCACTGATTTGCCGGACCAGGCAGCCAGCTGTCTCAACTCCAGCTGTGCTGGTTGAGAGGCCAGCTGCCCATCATGTGTGGCATAGTCGGAAGCTGAAGCCTCCGACAATTCACCAACACTGAGCTGCAGACCGACAAACCCGGGAGCACGGGTAGAGAAGGAGTCCTTCTCTAAAACCGGAGCCCGGGCCGTGGCCAGAACCGAAGACATGATATTGCCTTCTGGCAGAGACCGATCTGAGCGAACGGAAGCCCGAGGAGCCACCAGGGAACCCTGAAGGATGGTGGATTCAGGCGCCGACGATGCTGAGGCGGTGGGCATACCTCCACCCTGAGAATACGGGAGATGTTGGCCCGGAGGACCCGCATCCCAGAAAGCACATGCTGTGCCTCGGCTTCAGCAGTCTCAGGGCCATCTTCCCCTTGTGAACCCTCTTGGCCCAGGAGAAAGATGAATGACATCGTCTTCCTCTGCCGAGCCCGCACCCTTGATGTCCATCTCCTCCTCAATAGAGACCGAAGTCCCCTTGGGAGGAACAGGGGCCGCCAGAGGAGCCATCTCCGCAGAGGGGAACTCCTCTTTATGGCATTTGGACGCAGCGCAACCAACAGCTGTAGCTGTAGGCTTGGGTCGGAGACCCGAAGCCGACCCCTGGGAACAGGAGACCGACGAGTCCGCGCTGGAGGCGGAAGTCCTTAACGTCTGGCAAACCTTAAGGCCCCCGAAGTAGCAGAACATTGGGGGGATTCCGCACTGCTAAAACATCTCCTAGAGGAGAGACCAACCCCTATGGGTTCCACGAGTGAAGACCCATGGGGTAAAAACCCAAACCCCTGAGGGAATGGGAATGGTCCAGCGGGCCGGGAGTGACCCCAGAACTGGCCAAGATGGCCTGCCTGAGTCTGGGGCTGGACATCCTGTCCAAAGGACCAGGATGAACCGCCACTCCCACCAGGTGGAAACCCAGACATGTACGGGCTAAGCCCGTAACTGCTGAGTAACTGTTGGTACCCAAAACCATCCGCAGGTTGGCCTGGGCGACCCAGGAATGAGTGCCCGCAGGCACCCCTACTCCCTGAGCCCGGGGGAAAGGGAGACCGGAAACCGGACTCCTGGCCTGAAGCCCCAAACCCTTGGAGGAAAACCCCCTGGGAAACCCTGCACTGGGAAATCTGGATTGGGACGGAAGTCCCAGAGCCAGAAGCCTGTGAGGGTGGGAAAACAGACCCCGCGCTGACACCAGGATTATTGAACTCAAGTGTCACTAATCCCCGTAGCCACAGACAATCCTGACAAAAAGTCTGTGGCCCCTGACCCTATACCCGAAGGCACAGTTCCGGAGTCAAAGCGGCCCCGACCAACGACGCCACCTGGCGTGCCGAGGTCCCTGAAGGAATCAGAGACCTCGACCGGAAGTCCCTTTCCGACGGTAACACCGCCGCCTATCGAGAGCTACCGGCCAATTCGACCCTTGACTGCGCCGAGCCAGGGTCGGGCTGCCCCCCCCCCCCCCCCCCCCGACTCCAGGACACACCTGGACAGGGGGAGCCACCACCTGCTGAAGGGCGGAGCTCGGTGGAACGAGAGCACACCCAGCAGGAATGCTCTGGTTCAGAACTTCAGGAGGGAGGTCTTAAAAAGCTTACTTCCCTTACCGGAAGAAGAGGACGAATCCGTCTTCCGGCGGAAAGTTAGCTGGAAAGGCATGGGAGCCTAAGCAGCAGACTCCATGTGCAAACAAAGTTCACATAGTGAGGTCTGGCTGCAATGTCGGCAAATGGGACAGCTATCATGGGGTTCCCATTATCTATAGAAATAGGAACATCCATGCGCTGACCCCCGACGTAAACCCGGCACCTTTATCCAGCATCGAAACAATAAAAAATTGTAACAATGAAAACAAGGATAAAAAGTTTTCTAACAATCAAAAAACTACGAACGAGATCATAAAACCTACCGTACGCAGCAAGATTGTACTGCAAAAAAAAGAAAACGGTCGTACAAAACGGCCGACAAAGCAGCAAGAAAACAATTTCAACTTCACGAAAATCCAAGTGACGAGACAAGTAGTCACGCACTCGAACACGCGGAGGAAAAACACGGCCGGAAACGAAGTTCTCGAACAATCAAAAAACTACGAACGAGAGCACAAAGCCTGCCGTACGCAGCAAGATTGCACTGCATAAATAAAATGGCCGTACAACACGGCCGAAAAAGCAGCAAGAAAACAAATTCCAACTTCACGCAAATCCGAGCAACGAGACAAGTAGTCACGCACTCGAATACGTGGAGGAAAAAACGGCCGGAAATACGGTCAAAATAAACAAATGACAATACTTAATTTCACAATATAAGTTGGGAGATGGGTTTATAGACTTCTAATAGAGTAACAATATACTCAAACGACAATGGCAGTACGAAGAGAAGGAGTAAGAAAAGCACTTAGCTCAGACACCTCCGCACTCGTCGGCAGCCATAAAGGTAAGAGGAAGGGAGATCACTCTGCGTTCCTGCCATGATGGCTCATGGATCGTAGGGAGGGCGGGATTGTTTTTCTTTTGAATCTTTTGTTGTTGGGATACAAAGATGGGTGTAGGTACTGTATTTGCATACTAAAGTTATGGTAATTATTACTGAAATGAAATCTGTAATTTAGGGGTTGTGGGGGCTGACTTCACTACAAATTGTGAGCTAGGTATAAAGTTTCATTACCCTGGTTTAATATACTACAGGCAAACTCTGTAAATAAGGGGTTGCAAGCTTAGCATCCTGTACACTGCACATCACCTTTTGAGTGTAACTGATGTATGCACAAAGCTTCATGATTTTTGCTTCACTGATGGCAAAGATGTGCTCCAGACATGAAAAATGTTCATAGAAAAAACTACTTCTAATCTCATTGCCTGCTTAAACAAAAAAAAAAAAAAATTAAGGTTTATTTAAATAAATTGAAAACTGGCAGAAAAGAAGTGTTGAAATGTCAAGACATCTTGTTATGAAAATCACTAATTCAGACCTACCACACTTCAGATCAAATCGAAGCTAAGAGAAGATGAAGAATTGGCATTCTATATTACTTACTTCACTGTAGATGAGTACCTTGTATAAATACATTTGTACATCCTGGGGGACACCCACAGATGTATAAAAGATAATTAGTCAGCATCCACGACATACTGAGTACCTTACTAATATACAACAGAATTAGGCTCTTTAACAGATAATTTTTCCCTCAAGTGCATCCTGTATGATGGAGACTTGCATGAGGTCACATTTTCACAGACATACTATAGTAATACTGTAGTGGAACTGGACAGGGTCGATCGTCGACGACCAGTTAGCTTATTAGGTAGAGCATCTGTCTAGAGTTTGGACGGTCCCGGGTTTGAACCCGTCTGGCTGCACATTTTTCCACTCCTGTTACATTTGGTACCGTGACCAAACCTTGTTTCAAGAAGAAGTTGAATGCTTAACCAGGGGACAACCAAACCTGTGTTGTTAGATGTGATGTCTTTGGGGGGCGAAGACTAAAAATAAGGGGGGAGGAATGTAATGGAACTGGATGGGGTCGATCGTTGGCGACCAGTTAGCTCAGTAGGTAGAGCATCCGTCTAGAGTTTGGAAGGTGCCGGGTTCAAACTCCCCCCTAGCAGCACATTTTTCCGCACCTGTTACAATACTATACAATCAGACTCACTAGTCAGTGAATTACTTTAATCTGTCTATGGGAGAATAGATTGATACCTTACTTGAGAACTGCAACACATTTATAATACATAAATTTATCCTGCAACTGGTACTGCCATTGTCAGAATACACCTGCCACACATTTTTGCTGTATTCGGCTGCGATGGAAAACGACTGTATTTTAGCATGTATTTTGATTATGTAAATTCATAAAATTGCAGTTATATCTGATGAAGTTTGTGTTGTGAATTGCTGATATATCCTTTAGCGCCAATATTATATTGTGTACACATGTATTGTTATGATGACGTCATCCAGCAGTTTTAGAAATTACATTCGTATCAAGATGACGTTGGTGTTTGTTGCTTCTGTCAATACATTGTTTTATTAGTTATTTATCCTCGAAATTGTGGAACTATGTTTCTGCACTGTGCAATTATTTTGGCATCCATCAACCGGAAAATCCAGTGTAACACAAATGTCAGGTAAACATAGGTTGAACTACAAAACTGTTAAAGTTTCAACAGTTTGGTTTTCAATCGATGTTGCAGGATAATAGAATACATGGCCAGTGTCTTAAAATGTATGCTGTATTTTTGCTTGTGACAGAAAGACAAAGGTGGCTTTTGTCTTTCCTCACCCTACCAAAAATACAGCTTATAACTTAAGACATTGACCATGTGGTCTCTACATATTATAAGAAATAAAGTTGAGAGATCGTCCTCTGAGAGTCAGCATCTAAGATACATGACGGTGTTTAAACATGATCAATGTCAAAGCAGTTGTCAAATACGAATGTAGATGACGTACGGTTCTAAGTTAAATAACATGTCACACTGGCGTACACAGCCAATATTTCGGTGATTTTAATTAATCAGAAGATGTAAGCTTCTAACAATCTATTGGGTGACAGCAGATCTCTCAGCTGCACTAACTAAGCATACACCTAGTACAAGTAGAGACCAGCAAAAGACGTAGGTGAGTTGGCGATGAACCAGTAGCCAGTTACTAATTAAAATGATCGCGTTGACAAATCGAAGAAAAACTTACCTCCAACTCCAAGATTAACTTTAATTGGATGTTTATCCTCGTTGTACTTTGCTATTAACGAAAACACCTCGATTGGAGGTGCAGTCTTGATGTCAGAGAACATTGAATCAGCCATTTTCAATGATGGGTTAAGCTTGAAGGTCGAGGTCACGTGGTTGCCAAGGTGGAACTCGGAATTCAATTTTACATTCGGAATATTTCGCGACTCTATGAGAAAATGTATTAAATCGAAAGTACATAGATGGCAGTCGGAGGCCTACTGTCACGGTATTTTGAGTGCAATATGTATCATATGATGTAGAATGGACTCTGGATTTTGACTTTGTTCTTAGCATTCTAGATACAGGTGTATGTGTTTGTCAATAATTTTGTATACATGTTTGAAATTTGAAGAGGTAGGCGAAATGAAAAATACCTTGCCACTGCAGCAGGAGTTCGAACTATTTACCCTTTAGTCTCACCAGCCGGGCCACTATGGCTAGAGGCAATTACCTTTAGTTGAGCAGTATAATGTCCTGCTAGAGACTGAAGGGTCACTAGTTCAAACTCCACCAGGGGTAGGATGTTTTACATCACTTGTACTTTCCATGTATAAATAGACTTTGATTGTTAATTAGATGACACAAAAGAGATTTGTGTAGATTAGACCTAAAGGTTATTCAAAACTGCACATCATTTCAACCTTGCAATTAAACGCCTTAATACATAAGCAATATATTTCATAGGTATTTGACTGTTTATATCGGTGTTGTTTGAATATCTTTTAAGAATAAAGTTGACTTGTTTACCTGCTGGAGGTGACTGAATGATATACTGAGAATAGAGGAAGCTGAATTACATACTTGAATGAAAGTGACCAGATTATCAACTGGGAATGAAGGTGAATGGATTATCTACTGGGAATAAAGGTGAATGGATTATCTACTGAGAATGAAGGTGACTGGATTATCTACTGCGAATGGAGGTGGATGGATTATCTACTGAGAATGAAGGTGACTGGATTATCTACTGGAAGTGGAGGTGACTGGATTATCTACTGGGAATGAAGGTGAATGGATTATCTACTGAGAATGAAGGTGACTGGATTATCTACTGGGAATGAAGGTGAATGGGTTATCTACTGGGAATGAAGGTGACTGGATTATCTACTGGGAATGAAGGTGAATGGATTATCTACTGAGAATGAAGGTGACTGGATTATCTACTGGGAATGAAGGTGAATGGATTATCTACTGAGAATGAAGGTGAAAGGATTATCTACTGAGAATGAAGGTGACTGGATTATCTTCTGGGAATGGAGGTGACTGGATTATCTACTGGGAATGAAGGTGAATGGATTATCTACTGGGAATGAAGGTGGATGGATTATCTACTGAGAATGAAGGTGGATGGATTATCTACTGGGAATGAAGGTGACTGGATTATCTACTGCGAATGAAGGTGACTGGATTATCTACTGGAAGTGGAGGTGACTGGATTATCTACTGGAAGTGGAGGTGACTGGATTATCTACTGGGAATGAAGGTGAATGGATTATCTACTGAGAATGAAGGTGACTGGATTATCTACTGGGAATGAAGGTGAATGGGTTATCTACTGGGAATGAAGGTGACTGGATTATCTAATGGAGGTGACTGGGAATGAATGAAGGTGAATGGGTTATCTACTGGGAATGAAGGTGATGGATTATCTGAGAATGAAGGTGACTGGATTATCTACTGGGAATGAAGGTGAATGGATTATCTACTGAGAATGAAGGTGAAAGGATTATCTACTGAGAATGAAGGTGACTGGATTATCTTCTGGGAATGGAGGTGACTGGATTATCTACTGGGAATGAAGGTGAATGGGTTATCTACTGGGAATGAAGGTGGATGGATTATCTACTGAGAATGAAGGTGGATGGATTATCTACTGGGAATGAAGGTGACTGGATTATCTACTGCGAATGAAGGTGACTGGATTATCTACTGGAAGTGGAGGTGACTGGATTATCTACTGGGAATGAAGGTGAATGGATTATCTACTGAGAATGAAGGTGACTGGATTATCGTCTGGGAATGGAGGTGACTGGATTATCTACTGGGAATGAAGGTGAATGGGTTATCTACTGAGAATGAAGGTGACTGGATTATCGTCTGGGAATGGAGGTGACTGGATTATCTACTGGGAATGAAGGTGAATGGATTATCTACTGGGAATGAAGGTGGATGGATTATCTACTGAGAATGAAGGTGGATGGATTATCTACTGAGAATGGAGGTGACTGGATTATCTACTGGAAGTGGAGGTGACTGGATTATCTACTGGGAATGAAGGTGAATGGATTATCTACTGAGAATGAAGGTGACTGGATTATCTACTGGGAATGAAGGTGAAAGGATTATCTACTGAGAATGAAGGTGAATCGATTATCAACTGAGAATAAAGGTGACTGGATTATATACTGGGAATGAAGGTGAATCGATTATCTACTGAGAATAAAGGTGACTGGATTATCTACTGGGAATGAAGGTGAAAGGATTATCTACTGAGAATGAAGGTGAATCGATTATCAACTGAGAATAAAGGTGACTGGATTATCTACTGGGAATGAAGGTGAATGGTTTATCTACTGGATGTGAAGGTGAGTGGATTTTCTACTGGGATAGGCTGTTACTATATGAGTGTCTCAGTGACATCAATGAAATAGTTGGAGGGAAGTTGTGTTTTGGACAACAGCCTTTGCTTGAATCATCAGTGATATGACTCCACAGCCCATCTGGATTTAGTTGTGGATTTATCAAGGTTAGATTGTAGGTTGTCATGTTGAGTCTGCCCAGCTTTTGGATAAGACAGCATACCACATGTCAAACCACATGATTCCAAATCTGGCAAAAAAAACCCTAAACCTTGGATCAACAACAATGTTGTTATCTCCAGCCAGGAGAGACTATTCATGATGGCTTTTGTAATCTTTGCGTTATTATCACTTCCAGTAAAAGGTCCTACTGTGTCCATAATATAACCATCAGGCATGGCTACGCTCATTAACTTGAATAGTTCGGCTTCTTCTGGCCACAGTAAGAGATTTCCAGGAACTTTTGATCAGAACTCTTAGGTATAAAGTATGACAGTCGCCTGCTGGCCAAGAAATGTTTATGAGAACCGGTATCGTACTCCTGGATATTTTCTCTTGTAAGATGTTCATGTCCGAGGAACAATGGAACAATGGTTTTTTCTGATGCTTTTACTATGGAATGAAATGTTTTTGATATACTGGAAATTGACATGTTAAAAAGAGTTGAACATGGTTTCCATGATATGTCAGTATTTATTTTCACCCAACAGTACTGCATCCTTTTGGTTTGGGGTGTAATACCAGTACCAAAAGAGGATGAACAATCAGAAAGAATTTTTGGAAACCGTGTTCTTGTCCAACCAGTCAAAGTTTTACAATCTACATCATCCAGAGAGGAGAAATGCATGGTAAAAGAAGACTCCTACTTTGTTAACACATATTACAAAAAGCTCATGATTTTTAAGATGATGATTTCTTTTGATCTGGAAGGTAGCTGGGAAGTCAACATTTCTCCTCCAACAGTGTGGATTTCAACGTTGGGGTGAAGATCTGTCCTTATGAGATGACGTGAACCAACATGTAAGGACAAAGGACACCATGACTTTTGATGAAAGATGAGTTGGTATTTTGCATACTTGGGCAATATGGTTAGTTTTGCTTGGAACTCTTCATACAGTGTGCATTTTGCGTGGGAAGACTGGCCATAAAATAGATCATCTATGGATAATAGTGGGATGTTTTGCCATGTATCATCAACACCAATGTTTTGACCTTCAGGTTGTGGCTTTGTTTTCTGATCATTCTTAAAACACTTTGCACACAAACTAATCTCTCGATCATCAGTAAAGTTACTGCCATCTGCTTTTAAAACATCAAATCACCTAATTTTACTGGGGAAGTCTTATATTTCTAGCAGATTTCTTGGTTGTCTCCTACAGACAACTTTACCAACTGCACATACACATCTACCTCTAATTGTAAGAAGGGTACTGTATTAGGTGTTTAAAGTCCCAGTCTTAAAAGATAATGTAGAGAGTAATGTCAAAAGAACAATTGATGATATAGGGGTATATGGGGCATATGATATATTGTTGGAAGATTTGAATAATAACTATCAGTCATATAATATATTGTATTTAACGTCCTAATTATAATTGACAGATATAGTCATTCAAGGACATGTTGGCATTATCAGTATGTATACTAGGGGTTGTTATATATTAGAAAAGGCACATGTGTAAATGAAGGTTTGGAGTGTAACCAAATGGTCTCCTATGTTACCTATTGTTCAACAAGTCATTGGGGTGACACATCAAAGCCAAACATCAACACTTTGCACAAATGTTGAAGTTATGATCTTCGGGAAGGGCTGGGGTAAGAAGTAAAGCTATCTCTATGCTAGATAATTTTGAATGGGCTGAATACGACAGACATTCAGAATGTCATTTTCTACAAAACAATTTATGTTTTTCTGATTAAGAAATCAATAATATTGGAGGTATACTTACTATTTTAGTATTTTGGTATTCAGTTTATGGTTTGAACTTTCCTTTTTAGTTAAAATATATATATTTTTTAGCTATTTTGTGACAATCAGCATTCATGGTTAAGTAATTTAGTTACATAATTAGTTAATTAGGCTAGTGCGTCATCAGTTAACTTAGATTGTATGTAAAGCCAAGGAAACCAACTTTGATGGCACAAAGCAATGTATCAGTGAGTGGTCCTCGAAAGGTGAATAAATCTTTAGTCTGACCTCTATGGGAAATAGCATTGCTGGAAACCCCACTTTCCTCACTTGGCAAAGCAAACTATACCCAAACCAGTCAGTGAGGATTTATCTGTTTATGTACATTTACAAGATGTTTGCAAAGAGGAAGTGTTTGTAAAAACATTCAAACCAGCATTATAGTGCATTCTAATAAAAAAAATTCTACTTTCTCAATGGAGATTAAACATTTATATCCATGAAATTAATGTGTGGAACTTATTTATATACAAATATATACAGTCGAACCTCGATATCTCAAACTCATATCACTTGGGGACCGTGTTTAATTTGAGGCATTTGAA